GCTGCGTGTCCTGGGGGTGGCACTGGCATCTGAACTGAGCCCTGTGCGACGCACGGTGGGGGCGGTCACTTCTCCCCACCACGGTAGCTCGTTCCCTGCTCGCGACTTTTGCCTCTGCCGTTCCTCTCCCTGGAATGCTCTTTTCAACACTTACCACCATCTGTCCCTCCTTAAAGTAGGCTTCAGAACGGCCACCTTGCCTGCCAGGACCCCAGTCCCCCAGCTACAGGGGGACCCTCCGTCCTTAGCGTTCATTCCTGGTATTCCTTCTCTACTCCCCCACCGGTCTGGGGCTCACCAGTCTGGGGCAGGGACCGAGCCCCTGTGAGGGTCATGGGGATCCCCGACAAAATCCCCCAAACACCAGGGACTCAGACAAGTTTGGAGGCCCGAACGCACAAGGATGTCCAGAAGTCAGCCTGCTGTCCCTGTTCCCCCGCAGTCAGCCCCCAACAAAGCAAGCCTCGGCCCTGCTGCAGGGACGGGTCCTCATTGTCTGCTGGTTATGACCCCTACTCCCTGGGCTTTTGGGCTCTGTACACGACAGTGGTCACTTGGAGGCACTGACTCTTCTTTCCTTTTTCCGTTGGTTTTGCTTTGCTTTCCTGGGCCGGGGCTGGGGGGTAGGGCACGGGGAGGTTGAAATCAATTGAGAGAGTTGATTGAGCACCTGCTGTATGCCCTGCACTGTCCTGGGGGAGAGAGAGCTGCTACAGAATGGGGGCCCCTTGTGGAGAGTCTGCGGTGGGTGCTGGGGTGCCCCTCTGGGGCGATGGTTCCTATGCACTGCCTTTTCACCCTTCAGTGCTGAGTCCCTCTGACTCCTGCCCTGGGAGGCTTTGTCACCTGTCTTAAAGGGGCTGAAGGGGCTTGGCTGAGGTCACAGGGCAACAGCCTGGTTTTGGTCCGTCAGCCCCCTCCCTGTTTCCTCTCCTTAGATCTCAGCCCAAACCTGTTCCCTCCTTGCCCCTCTGCTATTTTCCACTTATGCATTTTTGAAAAACACCCACGCCTGTGACTGGGGTTTCAGGTCACGGAGTCCTGCAGGTGCCGTGGAAATGGGGGGGGGGGGGGGGCGGAGGCGGCTCCAGCCAGGCTCTAGGCCAGCTGGGCCTATGCAGGCCCCGTCTCACCGACAAGACAAACTATGGGGTGCAAAGTGACTTTGAACACAGTGAGAACACCCAAAGTTTCTTGAGCACTTCCTGCAGAAAATCGTCTCCTGTCATGTAAATTTCTGCAGATGGAAAATCTGAAAGACCCCAAGTTTCTAGAATAAACTACAACCACAGATAGGCTAAAGAACCCCCTGAGAAAGTCTTGTCTCAGCCCTCATTGTCTGGATGGGGAAACTGAGGCCTAGGAAGCAGATGGTCCTTGTCAGAGGGCACAGAGACTGCCCTGAGAGGCAGGCAGACCAGACCCTCCCACTCTACTGATAGGAAAGCAGGTTTGGCAAATGGGTTGGGACTGTCACTCATTAAAATGGTACCATGGCCCCGTCGCAGCCTGGTGCTGCCGCGAGCCTGGCAGTGTGAGGTCCTGGATAAAAATCATAGCGGAGGGGAAGGCAGAGATGGGGGG